TTTATTGAAAATGTCTTATAATGATTATAAAATACAATGAAACCAGTAAAAAGAGAAGGAAGAAGTGGAAAAGTGCAATTCAACAACAAAAATACTGTTTATATGAAACAACAATAAAATTGAACCGAAATGCATGTTTCATGGCATCCAGACAAACTTGTAGCATATTACCCGGATACCTTTCACTAAGATGCCTCTCCAGAATCAATAAGACGCTGGATGCTACCACTCTATAGCTTGCTTTTCAGCATTCTCTCCACAACTCTTGAAAAGTCGCCATTTTGATAATTAATATTTAATGTGACTTGTGGTCACATGTCATGGATAACTGAATCTGATTGGTCACGTCCACTTTTGGACGGGAGAACAAGACTACATTAAAGAGTGTACCAGACCCTTCCCCGCCGTCCACCCCAATTACTGTAGGCTGGGGAATGGTCTGGCTAGCGAGACTAAGTGGAAGCAGCTGTGTGGAATTTGAAAAGTGTAGCTACGTCACAAAATGACGTAAATAATGATATTCATAGAGGAATGGCGGCTGTGTTGTTTCACTCTTAAAACAGTCTTGCTGCTGCTGATAAGCAGTACAATAGCTGCTGGAGTCACTAGTTTTCATAAAGGCCATCATTATCAGAAAATCTTGGTCTATTAGTTTTTTGAAAGAAGAATTATCAGTTTGGGCATAGATATTACAGACTACGTATACTCGAGTACTCTAATATCTATGGTTTGGGCGCTCGACTACATGTGCTTATGTAAACTATGACATCATGAAACGTCATTGCGGTTAGCTTTGGTATGCCATTGGGTTTATAGGGAGAACCCGGTTCTCAGGGTTCCCAAGGGCTGAGAGACCCAAGGTTTCACAGATTTTGATGGACTTTGGCGACTAAGAACCTATGAAAGTTTCATCCTTATCTCACTTTCCTATAAAAAGTTATTCCAGTTTTTCTTGTCCCAAACTAGGGATGAGCCTATTATTCCAGCATAATTTTAGGAATAATAGGGGCTTCCTCATATGAGGAATAATGCTGGAATAATTGGATGAAAATAGGAATAATAGTGGAATAATGGGTGGAGTTGAGGTTAATGGTGATTGCAGAAGAAAATTTTAAAATTTTTGGCTAGTGTTTTTTGGAAGACCTATTTTTAAAACACTGCTGGACATAGGCGGATCTAGAAATCCAAGACCACCCGGGCTCATTAATATTCATGAAGGGTGTGGTCAAATTGGTTAATTATTCACCACTTAACCTCCTGCTTTGCTATCAGAAGCTATGTACATTGTTATTACTGTGTGGTTTGTGGTTGTTCAGATGTATTGTGATAAGATTATAACAGTATAGTATTGCCATGCAACCCAGCCCTTATAATAACCAAACCACACCAATGGGTGTGGTCTCGAGTAAAATCTACCCGGGCATTGCCCGGGCTAGCCCGGGCCTAGATCCGCCTATGCTGCTGGAATGCAATTCTTGGGTGAAAATTGATTGTTTGAGAAAATTATTGAGAATAAATTGAGAATAATAGGCTAAAATGAAAAGAATAATGGGGGAATTATTAAGAATTTCCAGAAAGAATAATGGGAAAATTTATGAGAATAATGCTGCGTTTACACTACAGAAGTGGGCCAAACTGTGCTGAACCAGGCTGAGCTGGCCCTGCTGTACTAACCATGCTGGCCTGGTTTGGCCCAGCTCACTTCAGCTCAGTTTGGTTACTGTTTACACTATCAAATGAAACTGTGCTGGCGCACTTTAAACAGGGCTGGCTCACTTAAAGATGCTAGTGTAAACACAGTATAATAGGCTCAACCCTATCCCAAACTCAACTTGTATAATATCTATGGATATATAGAGAGCGGTTGCATTGACGTCACCTTTTGACGTCATAATTACTTCCGTATGGCAAAAATTAATGAGCCTCATTCGTTTACAGCAGCAAAGTTGCTTCTTCTATAACTTCTTTTACACAGCACAAGGCAGAAAAGGAGTACAATTCTAGCGGTAGTAAGCAGAAAAGTAGCGATAGCAATAATTACAGGAGTAACAAGGCAATGCTGTGTTCACTTTGGTCGCTTCACTGATTCTCTATCCGAGGACTTTTTACTTCCTTTGCATCCCTGGGTCCAGGAAAATGAAAGAGCAGCATGAATTAGCCATGCTCATAGTTAATGAAGCCTGCCAGAAGAGTTTATAGCGCTGTACAAATGAATGGCAAAGTAGCCATTTTGCCATGCGGAAGTAATTATGACGCATGCTGTGACGTCATATGAAACCGCTCTATAGTATAGCCACGCCCATTTATAATTATCATTAATGCATGTAGTTATAATTCTGTCTGCTTCTCCAAAAAAGGCTTTAAGTTCAAAAAGCCAATTCAAACTGTAATATACCATCACCTGATAAAACTACAGGTGTGTTATTGATTGCTACAATTATAGTTCTACCTATAGTGAGATGGACCCACTAATAATTATTATAACAATATGCACACAAGCACACATATAGATACATACATAGAGTACATCAATTTAAAATCAGGTCTTTTTTAAAGATTCTAATTTAACTTCTAGTTTAACCCTTTGCTCTGTTAACTACAAAAGGAGAAGGAATGGTACAAGAAGACTATAAAGCATCATACTTGTGTTAATTTCTCTCTCAATTCAGAATTCATTCTTAAATAAACAGCATTCTCTTCTTTTAATTGTCTCACTGATCTCTGGAGCTCCATTTTTGTCTTTTTCTTATAAGTTTCCATTGACAATGGACCTCTATAGAATACAGCATTCCTCACATTATTAATAAACAATAAGTACCTTTCATCAGATTCAGAATCTTCATGAGAAACTTTCTTATAGCTTGGAGGATACAAAGGCTATACAAGCAAAATAATAAACAGTTGATACTTTCAATAATCAATTCTTACCTTTTTGGGTACAATTGGCTTTGCTTTGATGGGTGGTCCAGGAGCAACTCTTTTATGTGAAGGCTCTGACTTTGTTTTTGGTAACAAACCAGCAGAAGGATCTAGAACAGGTCCCGAGTCAATCGAAGGAGATCTCGACTAACAAAAGTAAAAATGAAACTATTAATACTTATTATTGTTATTCCCTTACTGATTGTTTAAGTGTGTTGGTAGGTACACCGACACTGGCAATGCTACCAGTCGATGCTGATCTTTGTAAAAGTGGAGTGAAGGTTTTATTGGTACCTGATTCATCATCACTGCTTGGTGATAGTATAGTCCTTCTCTACAAGTAAAATTATGATACAATGTATCGGTACATGCATGTACATGTACATGATGAACATGCACATGAACATGTATGATCACTCTTGACATAATAGTGTGTACAGGGTTTCCCACAAAGCATGCTAAGTGAGCTAAACAGCATGAGCTTCATGAGTTCACAAGCACTACAATACAGTATATGGCTTTTGGAGGAACTTTAAAAATAATCTTTTATTCATAAAAGAATCCATTTTGATCAGAATCACTTGCTACACAACATAGTAACATGTACAGTATACACTGTATATGTATCAGAAAAAATTATAAAAATGCAAAATTCTCTCCAGTCATTATTGGCAAAATTTGGCCAAAGATACCGTATAGCAAGAAATTTTGGAGGAGATTAAATTTGGCGAATTTGGCGTCTTGATAGCCATTTGCCAAAATAAAAATCCGCCATTTTGAGCCATTATACGCATGCTCAATGGCACACAGCAGCAAATTCGCCAAATTAAAAATCCGCCAATCACCAAAGTTTAGCAATTCGCCAAATATTAGCCCCTCCAAAATTTCCCACTATACAGTACTGTACTACAGTACAGAGACTTTGGCTCAATTTTTCAGAAATTTAAAAATTCATAAAAATCCAACTTTGATCAGAATCAACTCAATTACTCAGACTTGCCACACAATATAAGAACATGTACATGTATATGTATCAGAAAAAAATATAAATAAAGAATTCTCTCTTAATCATTTTTGACTAAACTTGGCCAAAGACACTATGCTATAGTACAGGACTACAGGGACTTGGCGCCATTTGTGAGTAAATAAAAAAATTATAAAAATCCAATTGTCATCTGAAACTTGCTACACAACATACATGTACATGTAGGGACATGTATGTCTATCAAAAAATTATTAAATTCTCTCTTAGTCATTCTTGGAAAAATTTGGCCAGACACTGTGCTATAGTACAGGGGCTTCAATTGGTCCAGCTATCAATCACCAAAAATTTAACAATTCACAAAAATTTATCTCTTCTGAAATTAAGAGATACACAATACTTACTGGAGGTAGTTTAGGAGGTTCAGCAGAAGGTAAGTCTTCATGTACTAGAGGTATAATGATATTCAATAATTATTATCAACCATCATTACTAGTATCAAATTACCTCCCATTGATTCTTCACGCAACATCTTTGTTAAATCCCATGATGTTGACCGACCATGACCTAGAAAAGAAATACATAACATGTACATACTTATGGTAATCAGAGTAGAGAGGGTGAGAGAGGGTAAAGGGGTGAGGGTATTATGCTAACAAAACTACCATATATGCCATATACATGTATTTAACGGGTATGAAATTTCACAATTTTGCTTCATTTCTGTATTTAAAAATTTCGCAATTTTTTAATGTACTGTACATTTGTAACTACCACACCTACTATACAATCAGCATGCTATTTTGTGGATTTTAATTTCGTGAATTTTTCCAAAACGCAAAAATTGCGAAATTTAATCCCCACAAAAATGTGGCGTATACGGTATGTAAGTATTAAGTAATAAAGATTTTGGAGGATAATTATGCCAGAACAATCAGTACATGCAATAATATTTATAAAAATATACAAGTACAGTTTAAAAACTTTAAAAATTAATAATAATAATAATTGCTAATTAGCTTTCCACCAAACTGGTATCTACTCAAATCGGCACTTGAATTAATTGTAACAGCAAATATGAGTAAATTAATTAATATTCATGAATAAATTATTATCACATGGTTAAAATGGCTACTTCTTCCTTAACTCCTTCATCTTTTTGTATCAAAACTAAAGTCCATTTACATTCACCTGAGCCCAGGAAGTGATTACAAACCCCGCCCAATAATTAACACAATGCAGTAATATTGTGAAAAGTATGGCCGTACTTTCTGCATGGGTTATACAACCAACTTGGAGCTAGAAAGCTCCAAATTTTCGTCGGTCAAAATTTTCGTCAAATTCGTCAGGTACTTTTGACTGACGAAACTTTTAACCGACAAAATTTTTGCTCCACGTGGGTAGCATGAGGGTTAATAGCAAAAATGACAAAAATTTTTATTGACAAAAATTAATTTTAGCAAGGAATTAAGATTTTGACGAAAATTAGGAGCTATACAATGCTTCTTAACAGGGCTGAAATGAATAGTGAGATATTCGAATATTCATTCATTAAAGCAATATTCGAATAGTTTTTTCCTATTCGAACTATTTGCCTAATATAATTATTAATGGTTATGCA